TATTTCTTTCCTTGACTTTAAAAAAATGTGTAAATATGCTCTACAATAATCCAGGCATTTGGTGCTGGAGGATTTGCTGTTTGGCACATAACATCCCAATATATAATATACAATAATATTCAGCCAAATACTGGGAAGAATCAGCATTCTTAATTCCAAAACTTTGGAGATATAGAAAGAACTGAGGAGAAAATCTGTCAAAGGGGAACCCCCAAACAGCCTATGAAGGCCTAAGCATGCTCAATGGCCATGGAATGCAAACTGATTATTGGAGTGGAAGAAGAGATAGATAGATAGATAGATAGATAGATAGATAGATAGATAGATAGATAGATAGATACCAGGTGGGTTGAGAAGAAGTGGAATATCACAGAGGAAGGTATATGTAGTTGGAACAATAAATAGAAATGCTCAGCAATGCAATGTTTTATTTTTGGTCCCATTTTTATTCATATTAAAGATCCACCACATTAATAAAATAGTGCTCAATTCTTTAACAAGAAATACAGGTAGTCTTTTTTTAGCGATTGCCTCATACAGTGACTGTTTGCAGTTACGATGGTGATTAAAAAGTAACTTTGCAACCAATGCCCACATTTACAACCTTCTGTAAAGCAAAGGAAAGCTGAAGTAAGATCATAAGTACAGTCTCAGTTTCACTTAGCGACCACTTCACTTAATGATTCATTCACTAAACAAGGACTAACTGTACACAGAGAAAGCAATTGGAGACTGTAATGGTTTATAATGAGCAGAACTTTGAAACAAATCCTTTGTTTTTAAATGCCTGTTAATGTTGATTTTATAAACACTCAAACATATGTATGTATACATTTATCTATCTGTGGTAAATTTTCTGAATCTGAACAATTACAGTGGTAAAACTTTCATGTCTTTGATTTTGTTTTATATTCACAAAATTCACCATTGTTAAAGGTTTGACTACACACACCTTATACCCACAATGTAACTTTGGTTCCATGTTCTTTTAACAAATGTTCTTCCTCTTTTTGCTCCTATTACTTATCCCAACCTCCTTTTTCTCTAATAACTGCTGATAAGTAAAATATACTTAGTTACAAATAAATAAATAAGATGGTAGGTGCTTATCTTGGCCAGTGAGGGCAACTATTACCCTTCACACACACACATCTAAGAATGCCTCTGGGAACAAGCACAACACAGAGAACATCCATCCACCTGAGATGCATCCTGTCCCAGGGGTATGTTGTTCAGAAACAATGGAAAAGCTTTTGTTCGATTGTTTGTCTGTTATTGTTGGAGACAAGGAAAAACCTCAGCTATTTTGTACTGAAAATCAACCTCATAATACCTAAATGTTTTGATCTACATATTAATTCACTCTTCTGTGGCATAACATCTCTTAAAATTGGTTCAGACACTCCCCAGTTCTATTAGAAACACTTCTGGGTTGAATTTCAAGCAGAGAACTCCAAAATATTGTGAGGCTTAGTGATTTCCTATGGACTTGAAGAATCAGGATAGGAAATGTATTGATGATTTTGAACTTTGGTGTTAGAGAAGACTCCAAAGAATACTGTGGACAGCCAAGAAAACAAATAAATCATTGAACAAATCAACTCAAAGTGCTCACTCAAGGCACAAATGACCAAGCTCAATTTTTTCTACTTTGGACATTGGGTGAAGACTTAGCTCTCTGGAGAAGGCTCTAATGGTGGGAAAGGTGAAAGGAAAGACAAGAAGAGAATGACCAGCAGCAAGGCAATGAGTGCACCATTGGTAGACCTGAAAGATCAGATTATGGAGATTATCAAGGAGAAAAATCTATCTATGTGGTTGCTAAGAGTCGACAATGACTTGATAGCAGATAATCAATCAATCGTGATTTCCTGAAGTGCCATTTTGGTTTTCACATCAAGATCATCTGCACTAGAGTAGTAGACTAGCTGGAGTAGAATAATGAGTGCTGGATCACAGGTTGAGAACCACTTAAAATAGTAGAACATGTTAAAGAAACACTATTTTAGTAGTAGTAGTAGTAATAACAATGAATGCAAGAAATCATCAGGATATTTGGTTAGGAAGGGTGCCATTAGCAATATAGGCTGTTTCATAAACCCTGAACTGGGTACAGACATTTGAAGCTACAGAGGATCAATAGGATATTTTTATACTGAATAAATATGGTTATACTGGAATGCAGACAAAACAAGATAAATCTAACTGAAATACTAGTCTTATTAGTACAGTTTATGTAATTCTACAGCAGGAAATGGGTGCCTTAATCACCACAGAACAGCTCACACAAACAAAAGTATTTGACGTCATCCTGTCTTCTTACATACACACAGCTAGGCAACAACATCAATAGCAGGAACTGCAGAACAAGTTCATAAATGCTGGAAAGGTACAGGGGATTACATTAAACCCAGCAGAATCTGGAAAAGGCAGATGCACAGTTAAACCACTTTGCTCAGAGATTCAGAGATGAAACCAATTTAAATAGACTTCCAAGCCTCGTTATTCAGAATGCTACTGTGAGGGAAGAAATATGCTAACTGATATTTGTGTTTGGCTTCTCGGATCATTGGGATGAGTCTTCCAGTCACATGACATTAAATGCTTGTCTTGGCTACCTGAAAACCATAATAATGAACATACGTAACACATATTGAGAAAATACCAAATACATTGTATGAAGCATGCTGAGCTACCCAATGCATATTTACAATGAAAGAAATTATGCTGCACCATTTTTTAATGCTTTGCATTAAGGTGAAACAATCATTGAACATGCCTTTTTTTCACTGGCATAGACTTAAGAGGGGTAAAACAATTGGCTCTTAAGATTTAAATATAAATATTTACTCTCTGCTGCTACTTTTAGCTCCTGAGTGCTGGGAACTAGCTTGTGCAAACATATGCACAAAAGCAATTAACTTTGTGAAATATGAACCTGTGATAGTTAAATTGGTACCCAAATGTGAGGTTTCCTTGTATAGGCTGTCAGTCCTCTGCCAAGTAATTGATTTGTCAGTTATTTTCCAAACACAATAAAAGATTTTAGATTAATCTTTGAAGACCTGACTACCTAAGAGACCACCTATTTTGTACGAACCTGTCCAGACCCTAAGATTAGAAAAAAAGTTGTCATAATGATGTCTGCAATTTCACAGGCCAATTTGTCAGACAAGCTGGCAAGACATTTTCCTGTATTATTCCCAGTTGTGCTTGGTCTATATTATCTGCACCTTTATGAGAAGCCTCAAGAACTTCTTCAGTCATGACTTTTAAATTGCATTGATTACTTTAAGTGTGATTAACCAATATTTTTAAACCATACATTATTATGTATTGGTATTTTTCTCCCTGTTAGCAGCTTTGACTATTCTAGGCATAACTAGATGGGATATAAATGGAAATAATACATACATTTGTTAAATACCTGTTAAAATACATTTAACAACTGTTATTGTACAGTAAAAGTGCTCTACTTTATCTTTTCAAACATTTCAACAACTACTAAAAAAGACTATTTTGTTCAACAATTAATGTATCTCATGTAAAAGTATCTATCTATCTATCTATCTATCTATCTATCTATCTATCTATCTATCTATCTATCTATCACAGGCATAACTAATTAAAATCTAATCAACTCAAGAGGTGGGAGCAGCCTAGAGTATTAGGAAATTTTCTGATTCACATTTGGTGACTTTCAGATTATTTAGGCAAAATGTTAGAAACATAACATTATGACTTACAACAGGGTTCAGAATTCTAAGACCTACATTCCCAGAATATTAATTTGTGGCCTACTCTGAACTTGAATTTTTTTTTTTGATGGACACCCATTAATCTAGACAAAATTAATAGGCAAAGTAAATACAAAATGTCTGAGCTCTTCTGTAATTTTTCCTACTCCCTGGAGAGAAATCAGAAGCCTGGAGTTATATCACTAAATGCTCAGATCAAAAGAATGTTGAGATCAGATCAATAAAGATCTGCCTTTCTACATATTTGAACTGTAAAATGCTAGGTGAAACTTTCATTGAAGAATAAATATAACAGCTAATTAAACAAATAATAAAATAAACCAAGAAAATGTTCACTATTAATCAGAACAGGACTCTATCTACTTTCTAATCTGAAGGCTAGCAGATATCTCCAGTAGTAACGCCAGTTACAGTCCTTTATTGAAAAGGCTAAGGATGGATTAAAATGCTATGGATGGAAAGTATGTATTTTATCACTGAATTCTGGCTTTCTTCACTGGGGAGGGTTCTGTGGATTCCAGATAGCTGCATACAAAATGTCCTCTGATTGATTTATTTGCTTCCTTTAAATTCACAAGAGGCAGGTAAGGAATGGTTTTACACATCATGGGGTGCTAATCTGATCCAGTGCTGAAAATGAAGCCAGCAGAGGACCATTTTGCAAGACATCAAACTGTGATCTCTATAGGACTTATACTATATTACTCAGAATCTGATGTTAAAGATTTTGAGTGCCCACAGGGGAAGTCTATAATGAGCTTGCTTATTTATTGATGGACTTTCCAACAGATACCTGTTTATCATTTTCCTCTCTTTCAAATGGAGGTTATCTGTTCCACAGCAACCCTCCTGTCATTATTTGTTAGTCCATTTATGGGGTGGGGGGACCTGACTATACAGGAGCCGGAATAGCAACTTTTCATCACAGTCATGGACTTTCTGGGCATTATGCATATTTTTATAAATAAAATCCATTATAAGGAGGAAATGTATAATATATGCAGCAAAAAGTCTTAAAGGATGGAATAGTCTTGAGAGGAAATCCCAAATCACTGGAGCCTTGCAGTCCTCTACTAGAATGAGGAACACGCCCATATATAAGCAGAGTATTCTGAGTTTTTCAGCACCATACGTGCTGGATAGCGCCCGAGCGCCACTTCGACAACACCCGCTCTCTCGAGCCCTCATCATGGACCGTCCGTTCTGAGTCTTCCTTCCCCGATTTAATCAAGAGTTACTTACATTGTTTGTTGCTTGATGATTTAGTCTTGGTTTTCTGTCTCAGTCGTTAGCAAAGATGGCTTTCTAACCGTGCTTCTGAGGCAAACAACCTCTTAATATTGTAGACACTGTTGCTGTGGAGGAGACATCAGCTACTGAGCATGCCCGCACCTCATCTCTCCCTCTCCCACCCGCGAAGAAGTGTCAAAGCAAAGCTTTCTAGCAGTTGCAGTCCCGGGAAAAGCTTTCAAGGAAGGCTTGGTGTTCTCTGTTCTGTTCTTCTTCAGACGGCAAAGGGGGAAAAAATTACTCTGCTGTGTTTGAGAAGAGATCTAGTTACCTAAGTGCAACATTCTGTGTTCTGACTCATTTTATGACAGTTGTTTTTTTTTTGTGCCAAAGTCTTCATTAACCTTATGTAATTTCTCCCACACTTTATTTATCCTTCATAAGATTTTTTTTCTTATTACAGCTGCCACATGGAAATAATAGCTGTCATCACAAGGTGTGAGATCCTAGTGTAAACAAAAGCACAAAATGCATAATACAAATGGTTCTGGCCTGTAAAATTTCATATTTACTTGTTGGTATTCCCCCCTTCCTCCTTAAAGCCCCTTTACACTGAAGATAGATGCAAGAGAGAGATTTTAGATAAAGTTCTCATATATATGATCTCATATATGAAAAGTTTATATTAGTTAAAACAGTAAGCTTGTATGTATTCTGCACTCAAAATTTGAAAAAGGAGTCAAATGTTGAATAGGAAACCAACATAGAA